CTGGGGACCTCAGCTGGTGCTTCCACAGCTCGCTGCCCCCATCCTGAGCTGGTTTGTGATGATAAACCAAACAAGGGCCAAACAACGTGGTGCGTGCGGGCAGGTGTGCACCTGCCCTAGTGCAGCTCGTGTTTATGCAGAAATATGGGCTCACAGGAGGTTTGGGGTGCTTTCAGCCCTTTGGGCCAGCTGTTGTGGGAAACACACTCTGTGAACACCTGTAGGAACAGAAAGATCTCACACGTGCTGCTGGCTGCTCAACAGAGTAAAGATTTCTTTCTGTGAATCTCTCAGTTTTAGCTGGGATGCTCTAATATAGCTTGTCATCTCTTTAATCATATAGTTTTAAACTGAAGAAACACTTGAAGCTCAAAAAAGAGTTTAGCTTATATGTTTTTAATTACTTGTTGGCAAACACTTTTTTATTTCCAGGGCCCTGTTAATTAATGAACAATAAATTGAACTGCTGCTTCCTCCTTGTTATTTTAAGAAATACTTTTAAATATGCTACCCATTTGTAGCCATATGCCAGAAATATTTTATTTAAAGGCTTGAACCCAAGAAGTACATTCTTTAGGTTTCCTTTACAAACGGAAGCAAATGCTTTAAATGTGCTTGCATTCTTACTTGCCATCATACAAGTTGCTCTCTATCAACTACATAAAATGGTGTTTCAGCACACTTGAATCTTACTGCAGTTTGGGGGCTGAAACTTTCTGTCAAATTCGGGAGCTTTCTATTTTTTTTTTTTTTCTTTTTTTCTTTTTTTTCAATACTAGGTTCACAGTTAAGGTGCTAGAGTCATCTGCAGCTCTGGCAATAGCTGTGTTTCCCTGCTGGCCAGGTCAAAGTCTGGCTCCATCTAAGTCACATAAGCTTGACATTTTGTGGTCTGTTATGAAAACTTGACTAAAACACTTTTTTCCTAATCTGCCCCTTACCTCTCCCACCATGTAAGGTGATAAGAGACAACCAGCTTAATATCTAGAGGAGAGAGATTTATTTTGTGCATGGGTCAGGTAAAACATTATTTGCTTAGATGACAGCTACCCCAAGTAGACATACTGCAGTTGGCTGTGCTTTGCCTGGAATAAAACCAGTTGGATCCATAGCTGTGACAGTAAATGAGGATTAAAACGACATCCTGTGGTTTCAGCATCTGCTCTGAAAAGAGATACAGGAGTATATATTCTAAATGTATAATCAAGGAATGGGAAAGATTAACAATATCTGTCCTCTGTAATCAGCTTTGAAAACAACTGCAACAATTTTTACTTGCTTGATTATTTGATGGGGTCTAGTAAATATTTAAACCAAATAGTAATATGCATCTATAAACAACTGAAAATTCATTACTCCAGATAATCTTAACCTCAAGAAGCAGGAGTGACTAAACACTTCCTCTTGTATCTCCTCAACTTTGGTTCACCCACTTTCCACCTGTGTGCCACCTTTCTTCTCTCTGTGTCCTGACATAAATAATATCTTGCTGATGAAGCAAAATTAGGATTTTGTGAAGCTTTGTCTGGCTGACCTGAGCAGGGCTATGCTGGTGTTATCAGCTTTGTCAGATGGTGGGCCACTTAGCACTGTTGCCCTGGTCCAGACACCTGTTTCCTGAGCACTAGTTCTTCCTTAAAAATCCAATTATACTGGGTAAACAAATTCTCATCTAATTTACTGTTTCCATAATGTTACCAAGGTTTTGAGCCTCAGAGCTCTGATACTGCAATTGCCACATGGTTGTGTTTGCAGAAAGAGGCAAAGTCTCCATGCTCACTTAACAAGAGGAACACTTTCAATTTTTAGGACCATACTTGGGCCAATATAATTACATCAAAGTTATATGTTAGTTCATCAAAAATCTGTGAGGAAAACATCTATTTTTCCTGGATTTACTGGCCTCATCCATTCTGGATTTGTAGTGTCTTTCAGCAGTTTTCCAATAGTCCTTAGAAATCCCATTCAAAGTCTTGCATACACAACACAGGATTGCATACATTAGGACAATTTAATATATCTTTTGGACTTTATGTAACCTAAATAAAAGTTTCATTTTTTTTGTTTTTGTAGATGAATATGCTAAAAAATTATTCTTTACAGTTTTAAAGAATATCAATGACCAAAAATAGAGAGTGAAGTGCATATCAAAACTTGTTCATGTTCTTTGGGGTTAGCTCATTGTCCATGCTCCAGAAGTGACACAAAAATAGAGGATTATTGTGGGAATTAGAACAGCATTACCACCAGAACAAAATGGTTGGAAAAATATTACTGTGACAAACATAATATTTAATGGCTTTAACATGGATTCCAAAATCACTATCTGTCATTCAGCAGGAATAGGAAGGGAGGAAAATTTGTATTCAGCAAAAGGCAGTATGTTGGTCTTTAATACTCTGTACTTGGAGACTGACCCTGGGCCAATTTTTGGAGTCTTGGTCTCCTACTTTTTCAAAGTCCCTAGATTTTGCATAAACTGTAAACCACAGTTTTCCCATCATTTTTTTATGCAATGCCTGACAAGAAACACAGCAAAAATCCAGCGTGGAATCTTTGAAAGCAGCATATAGACCTTACAGCATGCCCAGTCAAAAAAAATTATTATAGAAGAAAAATGGGCATGGTTTTGGTTATGTTATGAAACCCTTTGAACTGTTTGGGTAATTTTTGTCCATGTTGAATATTTTCAGGGCTAGTTTCTTCCTGAAGACAGTAATCTTTCTTACTGTGTTAAAACACTGACACAGTACCAGATGTATTTAAAGCATGTTCCATTATTAGTACACAAACTGAAACTGAAGTCCTTTACTAAAACCACAACTAAGTATTTGACATTAAGCATTTGAATCTCCCTTCTGTTGTGTATTGCCATTGACATAAAATACAACAAATGCACTGGACATAGACTACAGAAGTTGACATTATCTTCCTCTTAAGCAACATTTATGATTTTGCCATAGTATATGGGATTTCTGTGTGGCTATACATATTTTTAACAAGCTCAGTATAAAAATCTTTATTTAAACAGGAACTTGCATTCTGATTCAAAACCAAAAATTAAATCTGATGCCTTCACAAATATGATTACATTTAAATAAACTTGTGTACTTCACAAGAAGAAAAAAACAACCTGCAAAGCAACATGCAAATTATTACTAAAAAAATAGCCAACAAATAAATTCCCTTTGGTTTGCAACTTGATTTTGAAATGATTTACAAGTCCTACTAGACAAGCTATAGAGCTCTACACTATTAAATACATTTATTATAAACTGGGTTAGTCTGTCCTTCAGGGCAATGCCACAATAGTTAAGGCAGTGCCAAAAAATCACACGCTTGCAGAATATTTACTTGGAAATAAGGAGTGTACTGAAAGCCAATGTCAGTGGCTTCGAGATCCTATCTCACCAACCCAGGGATTCCAGGTAGTGGGAGGCACAATGGAGCAGCATTATGCAAGGGATGGGAAAGGCTTAACCTCATATGGCTGCATAGCTCAAAAAGTGTTTAATTTTTTTTTTAAGAGTTTAACTTTTTTGTGTGATCAGGCAATCGGATGCATTACGGGAACAGCTCATTTCCTTTAAATGGAATGACATGGCACAGCAGTTCCCAGGCTGCAATATGTTGATTAGGGTTGTGTGTAAACTGCAATCAGGTGATAGCTGAACTGGTTTGAAAGTATAAAATCAGAGGAGGAATACATTTAAAATGCATGATTAAGAAAGCTGGTATAACCAGGTGCCTAAGCCTCAAGTGCAGTGTGACTTGGAACGATCTAAGAGCTACTGATAAATGTCAGAGTGGAGAAAAGGAGCTGAGTTGGTGCTTCTCTCCTTGGTTGTACAGTGCTGAGCACTGCACATTATAAATAATAGATCTTTCTACAGAGAGTTAACTTATTCCTTAATCACCATGAGGGTTGTGGTTGATGTGTTTGAATCCCAGTTCAAGCATTTGCAGCTGCTCTGACATGTATTCCTTTATGCCCTTGGAAGACAGCCACTCCTTCCCAAAGAACAGTCCTTATTTTTTCTCTTTCCATGCTTTCCCTGTGCTTGGCCTCTGAAGGAAAGATTTCAGTGTAGTTTAAAAAAAAATCATTACATTTGTCTTGAAATATTCCTTCTGTCTTGGAAAACAGTCTTTGTAGCAACAGCATTTGACCACTAAGTAAATCTGCTAGTATTTAGAAAGTTTAACTCTGCATGTGAGAGTAGATATGTGTGCATGTGTTATGTCAAGATAGCAAACTGTGACCTAGAAAAAAACAAAGGGTCACTTGAAGCTTGTCTTCATGTTATCAGCAGTTGTTTTATTTTGTTTTAAGCTGAGCAATACAAAACTGTTATGAACACATATGCTCGAAAGCAAATATTACTCAATATAAGCTTTTCTTCCTAAAACAGTGTTACATCTTCTCCATGAGACATGTCTGTGCTAGTGTGCAGCTGGCTGACATTTGTGCTTATCTATGCTGTTGTCATCTTTGATTGTTGGATTAAACTTTGGAAAACACAGGAAAGAATATTTTTGTATGCCATTTATATAGGTCAAAAATTATTTATGTACTGGATGTAAGAGAGAGAAAACAATATGAAAATCATTTTGGCAAATACTGTATGAGTGCCTAAATTCTTGCACAATCATTCAGTAACTTGAAGATCAAAAGATCAAAATAATAGCATGTCATGAAAGTAGTCACGCTTTATTTCTGAATTAAGTTTCACTGTAGACACAGCTCTTACTTTGGTACCTCTAGACTTCAGGTGAAAGAGAATTAAAAAAATAATCCATGTAAATAGAGATAGAACTTGTTCTAAGTTCTTTCATTTTGGGCACAGGCATGTTGGTGTCTGCAAATATACCAATGACCTGGGCATTTATTTGTTGCATGCAGTATCACTCACTCACCTCAAGTCACACTGTGAAACACCTCCACAAAGCTCAGACAGGAAATAAGCAACTCAAATTTCCAAAGAAATGCTCTGACATTCATGAAGCAAGAGCTGGTATTGTTTTGCATGTGAATGTACGTGTACACATTTTATCTCAGACCATCAAGCCAGAGCTCTGACAACACTGAGGGTAAGAGGAAAGTACAGATGTATTGTTACTGAGAATGCAGCTGAAAAAAAGGCTTAGATTAAAGCTGGTATGGCTGGGAGAATATCTAAAGACACACTTCTGAAGATCTCATTAGCATGACCCAGTTGAGTAGCAATGCATGCAAGGAGTTTGACATTTAGATGTGCAGGCAAGCATGTACAACCTTATTATGATACAAAACTGGCAGTTCAATCCACAATGGTGAGGCTTACTAACACCTACAATTTCCTTTAGGCCATTGATAGCAACTGTCTGTTGTGAGCAGAGTGAAAAAAATATCTTCCTAAAGCTTCAGTGAATACAGTATTGTTCTCTTCTTCCTACTATGAGCAACTGCATTATGTGTATGAGGTGTAAATTCTTAATTTACTTTGTGCAGTGTTTGCAGTTATACAGGTTTTCCCGTGTTTCATCACAGAGTTGGTTTCTCTACATCCTATCTGAAGCTGCTGTTGTTACTTGTTGCCCTAATAAGGTGCTTTCAGCTTGTTTGGAAGCAGGAATAAGACATAATTTTGCTGGAATAAGAAGTAATTTTATTCATAATGTGTCCTCTCAGCAGAAGTATATGGCAATTATTCCTACTTGCAAACAGCAGTTTTTCACTTGATCAGTCTGCTCATGTAATTTCTGGACATCAGTTTCTGAATAAATGACATTCCACTGTTACAAGAATGCACTTGTACACTTATAGTCAGGGACTTAAGGCTGATCTGTTCCTATCAGTGGGACAAGTGACTGTATTTGGATTCTCTGATGATTCAGAATCTTTCTCAGACTGGAAGTACAGAAGGCACAATGGACTGGCTGATTTGCTCTGGAGACCAGGTCATTCATGTTACAGGAGCTACAGCAGTTTTTAAATGTCCTTTCTCTGTGCATTACACAAGATTAGTTTTTACATTCTTTCTGGAGTCTCTTCCCAAGAAGATGTGCTCTCTCTCAAGCTGAATCAGTGGAAAGGATGAGTTCTCCAGCAAAACTATGTCCATATGATCCTGTGACGCAGGTGCCTCACAGCACAGTGATGTGCACCCAGGTTTTACAGCCATGAGAAGATGAACTCAGATCCCTCAGGACATACGTGGTGTAAACACTACTTTCTGTCTTTCAACACTTTCTCAGTATTTCCTCATCTCCAGAAGTTCCACCTAGAACTGCAGTCAGAATCACATGGGAGGATGAAGTGATGTGTGGTATTGTAGATGAAAATGCGTCTGGGGAGGAAAGTAAATACTTCTACATCCCCCTCTCATATTTCCATAGCGTTCCCTTTCCCTTGCAGCCTGTGCTCAGCACCAGGCTGAGCAGCACTTGAAACTAAATAAGTCTTGAAGACTGAGGGCTCTCCTCTCCCCAGCAAATATCTGATCTTTGGGTTGCCTAAGATGCCATGAAGGCAACATGCTAGTAAGAAACTCCCTCCTCCATCTGGCTCCAGCCCTTCTCTCCCTGTTCCGAAATCCCCCATGGCTCAGAAACAATAACTGGTTTTACAATAAACCTTCACTCTTTGTAATGCAAATGGTTCCAAAGGCTACTTTGTTACCATAAAACAATTTGAACAAGCTTTTGAGCCTTTCAGGGTATTCTTACCCTTCTAGCAGTCCGAAGCCCTGTTTTCACAATTGCCCTGTCTTATGTCATTAATGAGGGACAAATGGTCAAGGCAGGGCTGTGAGGGGGTAGCTGCTCCCTTGTTTGAAATCGTGTCTTCTCTGTGCCTGCAGCAACTGAACATGTAATGACAGCAACAAAGGGGTGACAGGTCCAGCTTAGAGCAAGCCTGGCCCAGATTTTCATTGTTTTGAGCAGTGCTGTCCTGGCTTACTTTGGAGATGAATGGGTGTTTTAGTGCTTAAGCAAAAGGCACTGCCTGATCTTTACTTTTCCTAGGCTCAGAGCGAGGGATCTTACTGTTACTGTCCTGATGATTCTTTAGTGCATAAACTCTACTCACAGTAACAATGGGAACAGCTGTTAAAGAAAGGGTCTTGAATTTGGCACCCAGAGACACCAGCCTTTTTTAAAAATTGTCATCAAAAGTCCATAATATTTTTTCTTCAAACAGGGAAAACAACTCAGAATGTACTACAGGTACTGTTTGATGATTATCTATTAAATATGGAATATAATTTAAACACTGATGATGAGAGATTGAAACAGTAACACATCAGATTTTCTCTCCCCTTTTGTTCAACTAAGTACAGTTAATAATAAAACTAAGATGCTGTTAAGGACTGGATATGAAACAATTCAATATTAAAAATATTTTTAAGAATAGATTATGATTATGTACCCTTGCAAATCAAAATCATTTACATGTGATTCTCAACTTTCTCCAACATGTATTAAACCTAAGTGTAGTTTAGAAAGAGCTGTCTTATGTTTTTTAAGTTGTCAGTTGACATCTTGAGCTTTTTTGTGTTCCTAAAGAAAGAGACCATGTACATTTATTCAGCAAAAAAGGATAAAAAAATTAGGACCTTTACTTCCAAGGAAGGAAATGTATGCATATACGTAAAATACAGAAGAATACAGAAGAGATGATCTCATGGAAAAAGTCTGTTAGCACCTTTATCTTGTTTGCTGAATCTGTCCAGTTCAATTGTTCCCCGTAAAAATAACAGAAACCAGAATGTATAGTGATTGAATTGTGCATGACTCCACGCATTACCACATAACATGATCTGCTTCTGAGCTCTGCAACATCTACTCCTTGAGTTGGATCCCAAATTTGTTGGGAGTTTTAAATACCTATTATAGGCTGTAAGCACCTTCTCTCTTCCCTTCCTTCAGCACAGGATATGCATAGGCCTAAATTCATATAAAGGGCTCCCCATTTGGAAAATGGTTGATTCTTTTTTTTTTTTTTAATTGAGGTGATGTGTTGAATTTCTGTGCTGAAGCATCCATGCCCTTTTACCGGGCTTCCCATGAATACAGTCAATAGCTCGCTGTACCATGCCATATGCTTTCCTCATTTGCCCATGGAAAGGGAAACCCTACAGTGGTCAATGCACTACAAATGCCTAAATAAATTAGGGAAATATAAAATAGAACATACATTAAAGAAGCCTCAGGCAGCACTACAATATGTTAATGGAATAACGGCACAGTACAGTGATGATGAAAAACAAGATTAATGAGGTCAGGCAGCATAGCCATACTAAGGAGGTGCAGTAAAATCCAGGAGCCAGCTTTTTCACTAGAAGTGAATAACTTTTAATACAATGCTCCTGCAGAAGAAACTTGTATGAGCTATAGGACCCTCACTGCTGTCCTAAGAAGGAGGTTGGACATTTGCATGAGAAGGTTCTTCCCACTTCACACTTTGAGATATTCTGTGACTCAACGGGTTCTGGGAGAAGATGATGAACAAACCAGTTTGCCAATATATCATTGCTTTCAAGTCCATTCAGAGATCTTCCCTGGGAGTGTTCTGTGTTTGATCCTAATCAATTTTGGAGAGTGAAAAGTGAGAGAAGATAAAGGCATCTGCTTTTTAAAATCTCTGTTGAGAGAGAGCCTCTGTAGGTAAATACACGAGTGACAGCTGCTACCTGATTTCCCCTGATAGAAGGTGAAAATTTGCACCTTTTTTTGTCCAATCATCTAAAATATGTACAGACAATATTTTCAATGTTTCTTTTTTTTTATGGTTATTATTTAATTAAACAACAAGCCTGAGAAAAATAGGGGTCTTTAAATACACTGTGTCAAATATTTCAACATCTTTCTTGATCATGAAATCTACCTCTTCACATATTTTCAGCAGATTTAGGTATTTTCATGGGTTTCAGGGGATAGTATTTGTTAGACGTTTTTCTCAGTATTTTTTCATCTTAAGTGGGTTTTTCCTCCTCTGGGTTAGAACATGTACTGCAGAGTTCTTTATTCAGTAGTACATGAATGTGTATCAGTATAAAAGTAACATGCATGTGTTTTATTTGTCAATAAAATATTGTTCTAGTTTCCTATTATCTATTTTTTATTTACTCCTTAAGTCTTGGGATCAGGATGATAATTCTTCCTTTTGAACACACTAATGATTTTAAGCCAAAATTCCATTTTATCTGAAGTTCCACATTTGGCAGCCAATACTTCAACCATACAAGAAACCCTGCATATCGCTGGATCTTTACATGACCTCTCACACATCCTCCAAACATGTCTGAAATCCTCAGACTATAATCCCAAATTCCATCTAAATCAATCCATTATTTCTGCTTTTGTTTTCCCCTTAGGCTCCAAATGCAGGCAATGCAAGTAAAATGTATGCCATTGATCTCTTCAGACTACAGAAGGCCATTTAGAAAATACAAGTACTCCTCTGCACCTCAAGTGCCTAAATCCAGTGGCCTATTTTAAATCAAGGACTGAAGAAAGTCAGTCAGGAATTCATAAATAATTTTGTCATCTCCTAGGCAAACTAACCTGCTTCAGAAGGGGAATCTCATAACAAAAAGGCTCCTTGAATTGTTTATATGCCATTAATTTTTGGCAGTTATATTATCAGTAGCAATAGTATCTGATTCTTGCTAGCTCTTTGCTTTAGCTTAGGGCCTTAATTGAATTAAAGGGTATGAACATGGCAGAAGTTTCAAGGCTCCCCTGTGTGCAACTTCATGCTAAAATAGTGAACAATTAAAGGAATAAGGTCTTTTTTTCTCTTGTTTCCCAATTCCCAGTTGCATTTATTTGGAAAAGATAAGGCAACTTTGCTATCCTCTGGATGAAAAAATTGCAGTTGATTTTGACATACTAGCAAAGCAGGTCATTGCCTAGGGAAAAATGAATGAAGAATTGAATCTTCCATAATTATATTGGGGATTTCTGAGGGAGAGCAAAGGGATTCCTGTTTATCAAGGCAGCAGTGCCTTAAATTCAGCTCTGGACAGAC